TTATATGAACTTGAACTGGTATATCATAATACATAATGATGCATATAGGTACGCACTATATTGCTTACCTACGTACAACAATAAAGACAATTTTCATTTCCTTGAAATTGAAACAATAATYAYAATTGGGGTTTATAAAGTGAAAACCTTATACAGTCCACTTGTTAACGAATCCTGTGATAATATATATAGGTATAATAATAGTGTAGGTATGTTAAGTCTTTATACAGTGAGATGTGTACCAACGGTGCGAGACGTTGATCTGTAAGTAGACACCTATAAAATATATTTAGGTATATAGGTACCTATTAATGTAGACAATGGGATAGACTGACAATATACTATAACAACATTGACAGTGCGTGTCGTTCGACGTTTTGGCATTGGCGAATCATTCGAGTAGAACACCCTGGTAATTTCTTCCTAGTGAATTCGACACCGACGGTTATATTCATCATTATATCTCAATGTTTGGCGTCTATAGTAAGTAAGCTGAAGTGTTGGTATTCAACCTTGCAGTGGCGCATTAGTTMGTTAAAAAATATATATTATATTGTACAGCCACGTGAGTTAAGATTCGAACAATTGATGACAAAATATCAGATAATGGTCGGAGGTTGGTGAGTAGGTAGGAAGGGAAGTAGAAAAAAGTTGTTCGTTTTTTATTTACCAACAACTATCATTAGTATCAGATTTAATTAAATAACTATATGTATATAGTATATACATGTATAATATAAATAAATTTAATAAAAATTGTAAGTATCCACGTCGATGATATGACTTATTCTGTTTAATGTGGTAAAATAATTTATAAAATATAATTAATTTGAGAAGCCGTGAAGGGATAYGTAGGCAATATTTCCTTTACACTCAGATCAATGTATGATAATATAGAGACATCTATATGATTACAAATAAAAGTAAGCGCTTAAATTAATTTTTGTAAATATCCACTGTGACTTATACTTATTTTGATTGTTAGTTTAAGAGGTATAAGAGGAAAATATTACAAAAAGAAAACATTTAATTTGGTAATAAATTATATTTAGGTAACATGGTTATATTATTGTATCATTTATCAGTTGAATCCTGATTAATAAATTCAATTTCAACAAAGTAATACATTAAAAATGCCTTCAAACACTACTTCAATTTTAAAAATATGATGAAAAATACTTAATAATAATATAACAAATTGATGACAACTACAAAACAGAACGCGTGCCAGATAGAACATTTTTGACCATACGACCTCAAAGAAG